AACGCGCTGTTTTCTCGGGAGAAATAACCGGTTGCCTCCTCGATTAAATGCCCCCACTTCCGGCGGGCACCCGAATCAGCCAAGCATTACACGCCCAGGGCCGCGCCGAGATAGCCATAGCCGCAATCCTCCGGAAAACCGTTGTCCGGGACGGTCAAGTGAGCTTCGGGTCGGGCTCGAGTTACTTAGCGCAAGTCCACATTCTGCTACTAGACGAAACCGGAGGAGACATTGGTGTGGCGTGTTTTGCGATACATCGATTGATTTGCCATTTAAACCTTTGAAAAAGGATCGATAAACGGGGTGTTCGCAACGAACACTTAAAAATCGATTCTTCGCCATGGGTTCAAATGGGGGAAATATCGATCATTCACGCCTTACCACTGATGAGAACCGGAACGAGACCACAGGCGAAAAAAAACATATCGATGGCTAAATGGAGATACCGGGTTTCGCAAATCAGCCATCGATATTATGCTAAAAAGTACGTTTTATTTATTTATTTATTTTTTTTTTCGAATTGTATGCTAATTTCGGAGGCCAAAAAGCAAAATCACGCATCCGCTTTCGATGTTGCAAACTCACTGTCATACTTTATTTTTTCTTCAGAAAACTAGTCAACGTGCGTTCTTGAAAACTTCTCCAATGTTTCTTCTCTGTTGGCAGAATATTCTGTATGCGTTTGAAGCACTAAGAAGCCGTCCTAAATTACGTCACTCAAGTATAGGGGGGAGGTGGGGGGGGGNGGGTTGTCTGGCGGTGGATGACAGGGAGGGAGGGAGAGGTCAAGCCAAGGGTGACATACCTAAGCTTTTCTGAGGGCAGAAAGGCTGAAAATGCTTGCTTGAAATTTGGCTATATCTACTGATTTTTATCGATTTTCAGCGTTTTCCCCCGAAAAAGGGGGGAAGGCCACTACAAACATTTAACACTCAATAAAAGAAAATAATCATGTTCTTGACGCTGCAGACTATATCTACTGATTTTTAACGCGTTTCTGCGTTTCCCCCGAAAAAGGAGGGGGGGACGCTAGGGATGCTAATTTTTAAGGGGGAGGGGTCTCGCAGTGGAAGAGGGTTGGATACATTGAGGAAGGGGGGAGGTCTAAAAATTGAAAATAAGAATAGGTAAACGTAACATATGAAAGGCCCCTAAAGCTGGATTGTTTCTCTTCGAAATAATAAAATTGGAGCGGAAATTTTGGAACATTGTATAGACGATACGTTGTCTCGTACTTTGGCCATGGAACAACTGCAATTCAGTGGCGTGGCGTGAATTGCGATGTATCGATCGCTATGCCATTTAAACCTATGGTAAAGAATCGATTATTAAAGTGTTCGCTGCGAACACCCTGTTTATCGATCCTTTTCCATAGGTTTAAATGGCATAACAATCGATATATCGCAATTCACGCCACGCCACTGCTGCAATTAGTGTCCACGTTCCATCGGATGCAAGGCTGCACGACATCGCTTGCCATGACTTACCGCTGTCGTGATATCACGCATCGCACAGTGGATCGAGTCAATCAGAGAGGTCGGACAAGAAATTTTTTAACTAAAACTGTAAATTTTGATGTTTAATTCGTCACATTTTAAATTTTAACGAGTGCTACTGATAGGAAAGTTTACGAGGAAACCACTGTAACCACTTTAGAAGCCTCAAAATTTTGTATGAATGGATTTATCAGCTTGTAAAGTTTCCAAATTTTGTCCGATCTCTCCTACTTACTCGATCCACTGTGCGTCGTGCGGCCCGCTTGGCCAAATACAGCGAAAAAACGGGATCCAGAAGCCCGGACTGGACGGATTCGAAGCACGTGCTACACGGAGCGAGGCGTGCGCGGGTGAGTCCTTGGCGGATTGCGCGCCAAAGAGGAGCGCATGCGCGGAAAGTTTGAGCAGGCGGGAAGGGTGGGGATTGGCGGGTAACGCTGTGGCGGGAAGCGGGATCTGAATTATGGCGCCAGAATACGAATTGACGGGCCCGCTTCCAGCGGAGCGAAAAACCGGGCGAGCCTCACGCCTCGCATCTTGCGTATTGAGCCGCTTGTGCACGCTTATCGCTTCGACTCGGAGAGAGAACAGGGCGAATTGGACCACATTTTTCGATAGAGAACTAAAATTTCTGGCTCAGTTTAAAAACAACGTTTGTATCTTTACTTCACTTGTGTACTTGAGTGTTTTTACGGATAAGCTTCACGCCTCGCATCTAGCGTATTGAGCCGCTTGTACACGCTTATCGCTTCGACTCGGAGAGGGAACAGGGCGGATTGGACTAAATTTTACCATAAAGAACTAAAATTTCTGACTCAGTTTAGAAGCAACGAAGTCACCATTAGTTTCCCTGTCCACTTGGGTGTTTTTATGGATACACCAGAAATGGGCGTATTGCAAGGTGGCGAGCCTCACGCCACGCTTATCGCTTCGATTCGGAGAGAGAACAGGGCGAATTGGACTGAATTTTGCCATGAGGAGCTAAAATTTCTGGCTCAGTTAAGAAACAAGGTATGTGCCATCAATTTCCCTGTGCACACGAGTGTTTCCAGCGGTGCGTAAAACCAGGCGAGCCTCACACCTCACATATTGAGCCGCTTGTGCACGTTTGTCGCTTCGACTGGGAGAGAGAAGAGGACGATTTGGACTACACTTTGGGAGAAAGAACTAACATTTCGGGCTCAGTTTAGAAACAACGTATGTACCATTAGTTTACCTGTGCATCTGAGTATTTTTACGGATGAACCGGAAATGGGCCTGTTGTGAGGAGCCGAGCCTCACGCCACGCTTATCGCTTCGACTCGAATAGAGAACAGGACAAATTGGACTACATTTGGTGATCGAGAACTAAAATTTCTGGCTCAGTTTAGAAACAACGTAAATGCCATTAGTTTCCGTGTGCATTTGAGTGCTTTTGCGGTTGAGCCAGAAATAGGCCTGTTGCAAGGCACGGGGATAAGTGAATGAATAACTGATTCCAATGGCAAATTTCACGAAAAGAACGACGTATGGTTGCAAGAACAGGAAGTTGAGTTGGAAGGACCGCATAGTTGAGATTATACAGAACACCATGTCCTCCTCCATTTCGTGGATATGGAATTTCAATAGTTTCAATTAGTTGTATCACGCGTTTCGCCCAATCCAACTTCTCTACTCCTGCGTTAAAGTCTCTGATCAAGCCGGAAAAAGGTTCTCCTTCATTAAGTGGATACGTAAGTTTACCTTCTTGGGAGAAGAAACAGTTGCATCACGCGTTTCGTCCTATCCAACTTTTCTACTCTGCGTTTAAGTCTCCGAGTCAGTGGAAGAGAGACCAGTCTCTTTTTCATTGTTCTAGATATGCGAGGAAGCTACGTTGCTTTATAATTGTGACCGGATCTGTGAAAAGAATCTTATCGTCCGGAAGAAAATTTCCAAAACTTTGCGCGGAAAACGATCGCAGCAAGCGCCTGCAAAACTGTAGAAATACTTCAAGCATTGCGCCATGCGTGCGATATTTTGAAATGTGTAGGACAGCATGACTAGCAGAATGACTAGCTGAGAAACGAATCAAAGTTTCATCAGATTTGATCGGGGGGGGGGGGGGTGTCCCATAAGAATGTTGCGAGGTTCTTTTCAGATATTTAAGAGAAAATTTCGAACTAATTTGCTGAAAATTTTGAAGAAAAATATTCACAATTTTCTAAATTTGTAGGTTTGTTTTATAAAGAAGGAAAAATGGCAACGTCTACAGGCTCTTACGGCGTTATTTCTTCTTTGCACAGTAGAATAGCAGCAGTAGCTCAGAATGCATCTCCTGCTGTATTGTATAGACACCATTGAATAAACACATAGGATCGGGATAGAAAGACTTAAAAATAGACTGAGCGAGATCGAATCGAAACGGATGATGATTTCAAAGCAACTGACATGAGCTAAAATTGACATGTTTACTCGTGAAACCGCATTCAACTCGTTAACAGTGAGAGTAAAGAATTGGAGCAAATTATGAAATACGGTGGTAAGCTACTTTAGAAAACTATCTCAGAACAATGCTCTAACTTCACCCGAAAATTTTACAAACCACCTCGAGAGAAAGCCTAATTTTCAGGCGCTACGTACCAACGTACCTTTTAATGCGCCATATACATTTATGATAATGAAACAGGAAATCATGAAAAGAAAATAGTCCCAATAGGAAAACGGTCTGAGTCAATTTTAGTGTATTTTCCGAAGAAAATACACTATTTTCAGCCTTAATTATAGGCACAAGGCACTTGGTAAATTTCAGTGCCGTACGCTGTAAGTATTTGAATCATCAGAATTTCAAGGATAACTTGAACTCGCAACTTCCGAATGTTTTTCCACGTGAACGTAATTGGCAAGAGTACTTGTACTAATTGTCTCATTAAAATTGAACATCCTCTCATTATTTCAAACGCGCTTTTCGGCCATCGTTGGTGTTTTCTCGTGACAAGTTTATTTCAGATCTTTTTCAAAAATATCGATGACGATGATGTAATCCGGAGGCACTGAAACTCTCGAACTTTCATTCAGAGACATTTGATTCCCTCTGAGCTCAAAGCGATTTCAATCATAAGTTCTGCCATTTTAAAAAATTATAGGAAAAATAACCAGTGGCGTGGCGTGCTTTGCGGTATATAGATTGATCTGCCACTTAGACTTACGGACAGGGTGTTCGCAACGAACACCTTTATAATCGATTCTTCACCATAGTTTCAAATTGAGAAATATCGATAATCGATTATTCACACCTCGCCACTGAAAATAACAGTGGAGTGACGTGTTCCATTTTATCAGGTGTTGAACGATGACAGCTGAACAGACTCTGTCTATGGAAACAAGTATTCCGTAAACAAAAATTAAATGTAACTTTAAATGCACTAGTAAAGAAAATATTGATTTCGTTACGTAAAAAGCATTATCTTGGGATTGATTATTGGTTTCGAGGACGGGCTAATAAAAATTAATAGAAATGAATGGAGGTCCAAAAAATTGACTCACCGGTTATCCCGTTTGCCGTCATTTTGATCTTCAGGGTTTATCTTCTAAGTGACAATCATCGATTATCTGTAACAGAGAGCAAATCGTACTTTTAAAAAATATACTCAACCAAAAGACTGATAAGGCATCCAAATAAAGTGACCGAAAAGAGAAAAAAACAATCACAAAAAAAGTCTCGTTGTCGTAGCTGCTCCGAGAGCTACGCCCGGAACTTTCGGCTTCTGAGCCCGGAACTCGAACGGTAAGTCTATACAGCCCGTAAGCACAGCTTCCACGGCTGGAGTTTTATGTTTGTTTTCAGTGTAGTTTTCAGCTGAAAAAGATCAAACATATCTGAGAGGCAAGTATGGGCACCGTGAAATGAGGTTAAAATGCCTTTCTTGAGAGTAGTTAGAATGACCTGCTGTTTCCCGCAAGCGCAACCAGCACGCGGCGCACAGTGTACTGGAAAAAAAAAAAACACATTGGATCTTGAGTCCAGACTCTTAAAAACATCGACAAGAAAAAATACTCTTGATTCAATCAGATTTAAGCTTAAATAAAAAACCAAGCCTCTTAATTTGAGCGGATTTCCTCTTGATTTAAGCATAAATCTGATTGAATCAAGAGTCCTTTTTCTTGTCAATGTTTTCAAGAGTCTGGACTCTAGATCCAATAAGGTTTTTTCCCCAAGTGTGGATCGAGTCAATTAGAGAGGTCGGACATGAAATTTTTGACTAAAACTGCAAATTTTGATGTTTATTTCGGCAAAATTTAAATTTCAAGGGTTACTTTTAGAAGATAATTTTACAAGGAAACCAATGGAACCACTTTTAGAGCCTCAAAGTTTTGTATAAACAGAGTTATAAGCGATTAAAGTTTCCAAATTTTGTCCGACATCTCCTATTGACTCGATCCACTGTGCGGCGGTTCCGATCCTGAATATGAAAAATGACTTCGTTTGTCATTTGCCTCTTCACCGAATAACCGAGGAACGCGGCGAGACCTTGACGAGTAAAATGAGTAATTCCCCTCAATTCGACTTCAATTGGATTCTCCGTGACACAGTTAGACTTATTTCACGGCTCTGAATACTTCACATGCTTGTTCGCGGTGAACTTGATAGATTTCAAGTGGTAATTATCGCGCAGATGAGATTTCGAATTAACGTCGTCTTATAATCAATTAGGCGATAAAACGATTTAGAAGAGAATGGTGCTTGACTTCAATCTGTGAGAGGCCCTGCATAATAAAACGTGAGACACATCCAATGGGCAGGAGGGAAGTGCTAGGGGGCATGCGGTATGCAGCTATCCCTCAATGGAGATGTTGCATGTGTGAGGAACTTGCGATTTGACTGTTGATTCTTATGTAAAAGTTCGCGAGAAACACGATGGTGACACTGGTTTTCTCTGAAATCATCTCCCAAGCTCAAAAAAAGCTCTCAAAATGAGGCTAAAATGGAGGGGATATCCCACAGAGTCCACCTCTACATCAAAACAAACTCTCCATGCAAAGATAGAGAGCAAATATAATAGCAGGGTTGCCACTTTATTTGGTGACTCCAAAACTGAAAACACGGCATCACTGCTAATGTATTTGCTCCCCATCTTTACATGGAGAGTTTGTTTTGATGTAGAGGTGGACTCTCAGGGTAGGCTAGGATATCCCCTCCATTTTGACCTCAACTTGAGAGCTTTTATTGAGCTTGGGAGATGATTTCAGAGAAAACCAGTGGCACCATCGTGTTTCTCGCGAACTTTTACATAAGAATCAATGGCCAAATCGCAAATCCCTCACACATGCAACATCTCCATTGGATTGCATTTTGCAAAAAGGAACCAAGAGCATTTCAATGTTGCATTCCCGTCGTAAAAAATGGTGAAAATCCCCATGAGGAAAAGCGGGGGTGCTATCATTATTGCATGTTACAGTGTTACCGTAGAGCTTCGAAAATATCGCCGAAAAAAGCGTCCACTACGCGTGGCGTGGTGGACGCTCAAAAAGAATGGGTCGATTGCGCTGGTCACAGAATCGTGTTTTGATGCTTGAGTCTTGTAGATCAGCTAAACATAATGAGATCTGTCCAAACAGCAACTCTACGTTTAATATTAACTGAGATATCACGCTTTGAGAATTCGACTCGTGACGTCATCCACCGCGATAGTGATCCTCTTGGTTTCTTCCACCTTGCTTTCATCCAAGTTTCACATTGAATAACCGATGCAAATAAACGTTTCCCTCACTGATGAAAGCAAGGTGGAAGAAACCAACAGGGTGTCTACTAAAATAGGCTGGTCAAAAATAAGTACTTTTACAGTACTTTTTCAGTGCATTCTCGAGAACTTCAGAACCTCCTCCAACATAAAAATTCCGTACTTTTTAAGTACCTCCATTTGAAGGAATTAGAAAAATTTCCAAAATTTGAAATTGCGACAAAAATGACAACATATTTTTAAAAAAATCTGGACCTGTTTGCGGAATTTCCGCACTCATTCAGTGCTTCCGGACCGCCTATAAAAATCAGTACTTTTTCTGGACTTTCCGGAAATTTCGGACTTGTAGACACCCTGAACCAAGGGTGTCACCACCGCGGTGGATGACGTAATAGGCTGAATTTTTCAAAGCTTGATATCTCTGTTAATATAGACGCTATTAGTGGCGACGTCATCATAGGGATTCTCCATTATATCGAATTGGATCCAAACAATAACATTGGCATAACCTCTTTCAATGCTACCAATGCGAAAAACTCGATATATATCGCTTTTCTGTGACGTTGCACTAATAGCGTCTATAGAACGTAAAAAGTTGCTGTTTGGACGGATCTTATTATTTTTAACTAATCTACAAGAATCGAGCATTGAAACACGGATCTGTGACCAGCACGACTGCCTCATTCGCATTAGTTAAAAAAAAGTGCCTCTGGCTAAAATTGATGGCGCGCCGAGCCCCATAGAACTCCCTGAGGAGCTAAAGATAAGCAAAAACTAATCTGCTTTCCGAGTCCGAAAAGACCGCAGAATGACAACAGATCACAATGGGACGTATTTAGATCGAAAGGAACCACATCCATTCTGATACGAGACCTGAGCTCCGTAAGAATACACGCATGACAGCGTTCATGTCACAATGGATATGGTTCCTTTTGATTCGACCGCGTCCGATTGCACAGGGCCGGATCTACGTTTCACGTAGGGGGGTGCAAACCCAGATTTTGGCGCCCCCCACGCCGGGGGGTCTGGGGGGTATGGAATACCCCCCAGGAAGGCGGGGGGTTCGGGGGTCCCCCCCGGAAAATTTTTGAAAATTACAGCGTACCAGAAGGCCGTTTTCCGTAGTTTTTAGCGAAAAATTGATTTTTTTAAGTTTGATTTTTGAGGTCTCAAAGAGCGGTATACGCGCATGTAAAAATACTTGAAGTCGCATTCCTCAATACATTCTTTATGTGTGCTTTCTATAAAGCACTGACAGATACGTACTTACACTTCACATTTTATGAATGAATATTGGGTGTACCAAAGGGTAGGTTGAAGCTCCAGCGAATGAAGGAGGTAAGTATAAGTAACATTTTTGTGATTTTTAGAAAGACGATTTTAATGTTGAAAAGTTACGTGGGGTCTTGCAGCAAAAAAAAATTATTTAAAATGGTATTTTGAGATGAGATTTGTTCAAAATCACCGCTACAGGTATTTTGATTTTTCAGTAATCTCACTTACTCCCTTCATTCACTGGAAGCTTTTTCAACTGTGAAATTGTATCGTAGGGAAAGGCTTTTTTGAGGGTTAGTTGTTAAACAGAGTACAACAAAAACAAGAGAAAGAAAAGGATAAGTAGGTTTTAATCAATCCCATTAGTGGAACGTGCCAATAACATGTTTTAAAATTGTACTTTTCGTGCCTTCCCTGGTAAAAATTGGCAGTAGAATGTGTGTTCCAAAATACTATAGACCTAAAGCCGGCTGTAAGATTTCCAATAGCTTCTGTAGCCGGCTGTACAATTTCTTATAGCCTTTTATAGCCGATGGCGATTAAGCAACAGCCAGACGATAAAGTTTATGCTAAACGTTACTAAATACGGATACTATAGGACTTAGTTAGTTTTTGGACTACCGCTCTCTTTTTGTGCCGTAGTATCTTGATTTATTTTGCGAGGAAAGCTTCGTACTTTTGAAGGATGCCCGTCATTCTTAATATGTTGGAGAACCTTCAATTTCCTGTGATACTGGGCAATACCTCTGGTGTGAAATAGTTGCTTCAGACGCCGTGGCACGCTGCGGCGCGGCGGGCGGGCAGAGAGCGCAAAACGCGCATTGGCGCCTACAAACCTAACAGGGATACCTCACGCATTGCGCAATGCGTGAAATATCCCTATTAGGTTTGTAGGCGCCAGTGCGTCGCCGCCGCTCCGCTTTGTGTTAGGCTCTAATATTTAATCTGGCGGAGTCAGCGTTTTTCAACTCATGATTTTGAAATGTTTGCACACTCTGTATGGACTATTCTCATTTTAATTGATGAAAAAAAAATATGTTTTAAAGGAAAATATCAGAGGCGTGGCGTGCTTTGCGATATATCGATTGATTCGCCATCCAAACCTATGAAAAAAGATCGATTATCAGGGCGTTCGCAGCGAACACCTTAGTAATCGATTCTTTACCATAGCCTCAAATGGCGATATATCGATAATCGATCCTTCACGCCACGCCACAGTAAAATATAATATGTATGTGTTTCGTAAATATAAAGGTACTTCCGTATCAAACTTAATGATTTCCAAAGCACACGAATTTCTACACAATTTCTTATAGCCTTTTATAATCGATGGCGAAGAAGCAACAGCCAGGCGATAAAGTGTAAAGCCCGGTGATAGGAACTATAGCCCAACTGTATACTTTTTTATAGCTTCGTATTGCCCGGCTATATGATTTGCTCCGCTTTCTACAGCCAGCTATATAATTTTCAATAGCCTTCTCTAGTCGGCTATAAGAACTCCTATGGTATTTTGAAACGCAGCTCCTATCGCCAATTTTTACCAGGGTTTTTTTCTGAAAAAATGTCAATTAAGGAATCAAAATTAACCGTGTAGGC